AAAGCCTTCCCCTGGAGCAGATCCCTTGAATTTGAACTTCTAGCCTGCTAGATTGTGAGAGAACAAACTTCTGTTTGTTAAAGCCATCCACTTGTGGTATTTCTGTTAGAGTAGCACTAGATGACTAAGACAATTGTCTTTATTAAAAGATTACATATGGTTTAAGGAGATGTGTACAGGTGCCAAGTTGACAAGGGGTGGACTGTGATGGTTAAGGTTATATGTCAACTTGGCTAGGCCATGATTCTCAGTGGTTTGGCAGATATTATATAATCATCCTCCGTTTTGTGATCTGATGTGAGCAGCCAATCAGTTGAAAGGGGAGTTTCCTTGGGGTGTGCCCTGCATCCAATATATATAGAGGTTCTGGCAAATCTCACCCTCTCTGGATTCTGCATCCAACTTGTCATCCTCTGACCTCTGGTTCTTGAGACGTGAGCCAGCAGCCTGCTGTCTGAACTACAGGTTTTGGGATTCGCCAACTCCCACAGCCCTGTGAGCCAGCAGCCTGCCATCTGACCTGCTGATTTTGGGTTCATCAGCCCCTGCAATCATGTAAGTCAGGAGAAGCCTCCAGCCCAACGTCTGACCCACAGATGTGGGACTTGCCAGTCTCCACAACTCTGTGAGCCATTTCCTTGAAATAAATCTATCTACGTTCACTGTAGTTGCTCCTCTAGAGAACTCAGCCTAAGACATTTCGCTAATTATGCATCTATAATTCTATTAAAATGTGTGCTTGATTAAAAAGAGGGACTTACAATTTCCTAAACTGCTAAAGAAATTACATTTCACGCTCTATAGGATTATCCCCAAAATTAAAAGATCAGTTGGACTGATCTATCTAAAGAACTAGAGATTCATATTTACAACTGCCTGGAGAAAAAATTTTCTTAATATAAATTTCTCTTGTCATCAGTTCTACCTGGTATGCTTTTTAGAATAAAAATTTATCACAACATTTATGTGTAGGAAAGGCAAAATATTAAATGGACTAAGATTTGTGATCCTTGTATATGAGAAGATTAGGTACTTTCAAGGGTAAAATATATGAGTCCAAATGCATTACATAAAAATAAATAAATCCATTACTTTCAATGTTTTTCTTTCCCTCTTCAGGCAAAAAAAAAAAAAAAAAAAAAAAAATCCATTTCTTGAGTGTGGTAAATACAAGCGGTTTAGAAGAGATGATATACCCCTCCCAAAGTTTAATGGCAAAGTTCCAGCATGCCACTCATTAAAAATCCACCAAGATAGAGAATGGGTGTGTGTCTGATTTTTGTGGATTTGTAAACACTAAGTACTTGGGGGATGTAATGTTTCTGAGCTACTTATCTGTCTTCTTTCTCCTGGTAGTTCACTTCCCCCACCTCCTTCAAGTAAATAGGTTCTTCAATGCTCACTGCCTTAGGAGCGGACTAAACAAAAGCAAGGGGATCCCCCAGGCCTTGGACTTAGAATGAAGAGGACATGGGACCCAGACATAATGTTCAAAAGAAACATCATTCATTCTATGCATATTTATTGCCTGCCTTCTCTGTGCCAGGAACTGTGCCAGGAAGTTCATACAGCAATGAACAAGGCAGATGGGTCTTGGAGCATATCTTCTACTGTTAAGAGCAGGGTGTCTATCCCACCCTTGGGAATAGAAGAGAGTCCCCTGGACTGAAGGGTGAAGGGAGACAGGGCATAGCTAGGTATCACAACAAGGGGCCCCAGGCTCTGCTTCTGAGACAGAGCCCCTGCAAAGCAGCAAAACTTAAGGGAAGTTTGGGGGATGTGACTGCTTAGGAGCACTCTGCCCTGCTTCCTAAATTGTTAGCCCCAGGAAAGAGACAAGAGCCAAATAGGTTATGACTCCAGTGTGTCTGGGCAGATGGAGCCACAGTCCGCCTGATATTTCCATGCCACTGGCACACTGAAGTATCAGAATAATTCCCAAACCCTCAAGCATGGGAGGAAGTATGGGAGAGAGCAGCTGGATACAAGTGGGACAGGTGGGAAGAACACTGACTGTCTTAGTAAACACAGGCTGGGACAAATGACATCAGGGCCAGTATGTTCCCCTAGTCACAGCTACATAAGCTCCCTCAAAACCTAGATGCAATGTTTTGGAGAAAAGGTGGGAAGTCCAGGTGATTTAACACATAACCTCTGCAGAATGGGAGCTCAAAATAAAACTTAATTTGTTACAGAAAAATAAAGCAAATACAGTTTATGAACTCAGAATTGTACCAACTACATCATGAATACTAGGACTTGCCAGGGTGTGATGCAGGGTCATTTCAGACATCTATAATTAACAACTCATTTCCTCTGGATGAAGAAAGAGAGGAAAATGAGTGAAAAGAAACGTATTTTATAACAGTAGTTCTCAAACTTTGCTGCATATTAGATTTTTGCTTATTTGTTTTTTAATTTTGTTGCCTAGGCCACATCCTGGACCAACTAAGTCAGTAGCTCTGGCGTTATGGTTTTTTAAAATTCCCCCAAGTGATTTCAGTGTGCAGCCAAGTTGAAGAATCAGTGATTTTAAGTGGTGCTTTTCAAACTTTCAGGGCATGCAAGTCACCTGGATCTTGTTAAAATGCAGATTCTGATCTAGTAGGTCTGGGATAGGGACTGAGATTCTGCATTACTAACAAGCTCCTATTTTGAGGAGCAAGGATTTAAAGACCTCTATTGTAACACAGGAAACCCTGGTGGTGTAGTGGTTAAGAGTTTGGCTGCTAACCAAAGGGTCTAAAGTTCATAATCCACCAGGCACTCCTTGGAAACCCTATGCGGCAGTTCTACCCTGCCTTATACGGTTGCTATGAGTTGGAATTGACTGCAGAGCAATGGGTTTTTTGGTTATTATAACACGGGAGACCTAGCTGTACAGTGGTTAAGATCTCAGCTGCTAACCAGAAGGTCAGCAGTTTGAATCCACCAGCTGCTCCTTGGAAACCCTATGGGGCAGTTCTACTTTGCCCTATAGGGTCACTATAAGTTGGAATCAACTCGATGGCAATGGGTTTAGTTTTTTTGGTATTATAACAACATATGTACCAAGTGTTGTACTTCCCATTGATAAGAAGCTATCAGGTTAAATAAAATATATTATTAAAATTAATTTTACCTGTTTTTGTTTAGATGTTTTGACTAGAAAGGCTTACTACATAAGGCTACTTTAAAATTATATGGCATTTGCATTTCCGGCTCCCATTATCTATTGGAGAGCTTTAGAGTGCATAAGAAATATGGGGGTGGGGGGAGCAGGAGGGTTACCTGTTTGAAATGCAGATTGCCAGGACCAGCCCTCTATTGAGCCTAGTTCAGCTCTCTGTATTTTAGGGAAAGACTAGCATAATTCTTTGCTTTCTTGCTTCCCCTTCCACTACCATGTGCCTGATTCTCTTCATATTTTTCGGTCCCAACTACCAAGAAAGAGAATCTGTTTGGTCTAGATAAGCATCAGTGACTCTTTTTAGTTCTAGCTTTTTGCATCATAAGTCTCTGCCCAGTCTATGGATTGGCTGCTCCTAAGTCCAGTGTCAACTAATCAATTGTAGCTGCAGGGTGGGGTAAGAGCTGGGAAGGGTTGAGTCTGCTTGAACAGAGTACAGGGAATGACCTAGATGGAACCTCTCCTCTGAGCAGGGGCTGTGGGCAGGCCAGTTTTGTTTGGAGGGGATGGTGGGAATACCCAGTATAGATTGACCTGACTGCCATGAGTCAATTCAGAAATTAAAAGAGCATAATGCACAAGCAAAGGCCCTATGACAGTTCTAGAGCCAAGGACTCATTATTCCCAGAACTGCACTCTAGGAAAAACGTCAGCCAAGCCACTATACAGATAATAATAGATCCATTCTCAAAAACATTTCAGTTCCATTTAGCTACTAGCTGGCCATAATAAACGAGGAATTTAGCTGGAGAGGGATATAATGCAGAGGCTGACAGGCAATATATCGAATATAGCACAACAATCAAAATTCCAGTCCCAATGATGCCATTATGCCACCCCATGACCTTGGGCAAGACACCTTAGCCTCTCTGGCCTTAGTCTTCTCATCTTTACGGGTCACAAAATGAAAGGGATTATGAAGATCAAATAAATGCTAGACACAAAAGTTGTTTCTTAGAGTTAGAAGAGCCGCACAATGTAAATCTTACAGGTATGAGTTGTCATTAACTATGTTTACTAATGAATGAGCAACCCCACTGTAAATCGTACCTCAATGAATACACCCTGCCCAGGGACCGTCTGGTTCTATTTCTTCAACTTTTTAATATGTTGGAAATGTTAACTCACAGCTACCATACTCTGTTAGCACTTATCTCGAAGCTATAGCTTCATCTGTAATATGCCGTTAGGAATTCACCTCAATACATCAAACCCTGTCATCAGGCCAGCAGTCTGTCCTGAAGCACACAGTATGCATTTGAGAGAAATATGGTCTATCAGCCCTTGGCTAATGATGATTATTTGTTTAATCTGATGGTAGCTTTTCCCATTAACTGTCAGAATATTTAAGATTTATAATGTTTCTATTTAAATAATCCAAATAGTAAGAAACACAGTAAAAGAAAATTTTAGCTGTCATGTTTGGGACCCAGATTTATTTCCATGCAATATCTTGGGAAAACTAATTACAATCTTCTTTCTTTGCTCTTTCCTTTTTATGTCCCATTTCCTTTCCAAAAAATGCATTGACTTTTTTTTTTTTCCTAAAATGCTCAGCTTTACAGGGAATCAATTCAGGAATACTGAGAAGGTTTTCCCTTTTCCATCACGGAAAGTCTGACACTTTACTATCCCAGCAAGAGGAGCAAAGGGTTTACTATATATTTGCATAATTGATTAGAAAAACGGGAATGCCTGAGCCTCTGAAAAAGGGGCTCTGCATCTTTAAGGCTCCACAGGGCTCTGTCTGTGCTCTCTACGCAGGCAGAGCAGGCTCTGCCGCAGCGACTCATCCTACCCATAAGGTTCAGTTAGCCAAGGTGGAGGATGGGAAAAGAATGGAACTGTCCCAGCTACTCAATGAGATCAGGGCAAACTATGAAAAGCTCCTCACCAGAAATCAGATAGAGACCATGCTCTCAACAAGGATCCAGGTAATGATTTCATACAGACAGGCACCTTCCAGGATAAGGAGACAATCCATGTCTATCCAATTCCTGTCCCAGCCTCTCTGAGGTACAGTATTTCCTTTTCAATGCAGCGTATACTGGGGAAAGAATTTAGGTTTTATAGCAATGTGGCTGAGACTACAGGGGGAAATGTTCTGATTATACTGTTAAACGGCCATTAAATAAATGTTGGTTGATGAATTTGATTTTTATGCAAATTATGATGCCACTATCGTTAACAAAACATACAAGAAAATGGTGCACTCTAATCCTCTTTAAGTATCCTTCAGGAAGAAAGCATTTCAAATACCCTTCAAAGATACTGTGGGGTTATTTATGGAGCTCATTTAGATAGCATATTTAAAATGACAAGCTTTATAGGGAGATTTATTAGCTTGCACACTCTCTGGAGATAAAACTAGGTAAAATATTTCCGAACAGTCTCTGTCATCATTTATTAATGAGCTCAGTTTTATATCAGATTGTTATAAATAGAAATCATCTCGGTATGTGAAATGGCATTCAGAAACAATGATCTAAATTATGACAATCAAAACTCCCCAGATTGATTACAGATTTTTGCTTATTATGAGATGAGAAATGTTTATTTCTAACACAAAGGATGAAATATTTACATATTTTTAAAAAGAGAGATAACTTAAATAAGGGCTAAATCTTAATTCATAGGCTTACTTAGTTTTAAAGTGACAATCACCTTTAGCAATTAAGGTCTCAAGTCTTTCAACAAATTTATAAATAAATATTTTAGAAACAAAGATTCAGAAATGTAGCTGATTTTTGTTTTGTTTTGTTTTTAGTTTACCTATCAAATCTGAGTTCAAGTTCTATTACAAGCACCCAGTTACAGCAAAGAATTTACTTAAGAACATTTCCAAATGAGAAAAAATATATATACTGCTAGGAACTCACAGGCCTTTATTCCATTAGCAATTCATTTTTAGTAACACTATAAATTTTATATCTGGGTAAGATGTTCGGTCTTCATAAACAATAGTCAGTATTCTAGATTAAGCAAAGACACTTGTATATTTGCATTAGGTATTGGAATAGTTCACACGCCTTTTACAAAAGGAAGGAAAAAATGGACGATTTCTGAAGATGATAAAGCAAATAAACATTTTATTTTGCAAATAATAGTTTACAAGTCACAGTGCTAAAATGAGTAAATTCAAATGAAAACGCAGGATTACGATACATTTTGTTTAGACTTTTAAACTAAAAAACTGTGTTAATTTTTTTTAAATTCCGAAAGTCAGCTGGAATAAATTCAAGAAATCCTGATTAATTATCAGGAAATAAAGAAGCATAAACTGTTTTAGTTACCTATTGTTGTGTAACAAACCACCCCAAAACTTAATGGATTAAAACAACAACCATTGTATTCTCTCTCACGATTCTGTGAGTTGTCTGGGCTCAGTAGGGTGATTCTTCTGCTTCATATGATGTTGGCTGGGACTGTAATTATCTTGAGGCACAACTGGGCTGGAATGTCCACGGTGGCTCACTCATGTGTCTGGCACCTTGGCAGGGGCTTGCTGGAAGACTGGCTCAGCTGGGACAACTGGGCCTGTTTCTGTCTCTCTCCATGTGGCCTCGCTACACAATCTCTCCAACAGGGTATCCAGACTTCTTACATGGTGGCCCAGGGCTCCCAGAGCACAGAAGTGGAAGCTGTCAGAGCTTCTTAAGGCTTACGCCTGGAACTGGCATGGCATCACTCCTGCCACATTCTATTGATTAAAGCAAGACACAAGGTCAGCCCAGATTCAATGCGGAAGGGGCCCACACAAGGACATGAATATTGAAAGGTGTGGTTCATTGGTGGCCATCTTTGGAACCTAGCTACCACACAAGCTTAGCTGCCAGTTCCATACTCAAAATCCAAAAACCCATAGATACTGGCATTTTTATGCTCTCGTATGTCCAAAAATTTTTACATTCTCTTTTGTAGTTGCTCTAGCATGTAAGGCTACATCACTCTGCCAAGTTAATACTAAGAAAAAGTGACATAACAAACCAAAAGAAACATGAATTTTGTTCTCTAACACCTTGCCCTAAATTTTGTTCAGACTTTCATTTACTCAAATGTTTCCTTAAAAAAAAAAAAAAAGAAAACCCATTGTATTACCAAACTAATTTTTTAATTATAAAATATATTTTAATAAGGACATTAAAAAGTTGTAATTTTTGGCTTCAAAATGCTACAGTCAATCCATGCGTTGCTTCCACTTGCGGTCAAATGTTGAGAGTTCTGCCAAAAGAGACTTCCATTTAATTCCAGTATCGGCATAACAATATTTAAAGCAGAATATAAAATATTCAACTTGTTATTTAATGAGGACATTTAGAAAATAAAATTTTTAAAGATGTTATTTTTTGTTACTACCCAGATACCCATGCCTTCTAAAAAGACCAATTTGAAAAAGGTAAATCAATAATGAGCACTCTTAATACAGAAGTCCAATTTAGACCCTGGAGCCCTGGTGGCACAGTGGTTAAGAGCTCGGCTTCTAACCAAAAGGTCAGTTTGAATCCACCAGCCACTCCTTGGAAACCCTATGGGGCAGTTCTACTCTGTCCTATAGGGTCACTATGAGTTGGAATCAACTCAACAGCAACAGGTTTGATATTTTGTTGTTTTTTTTTTTAATGCCTATGGTAACTTAATTCTTTAAATTATTAATAACATATTTTCCAGCAGTAAATGCTCCATATCCATACACCTGGTCCTAGAATCAGAGATCACAAATTTAGGACCAGCAAACTTTTTTTTTTTTCCTTAAAGTAGATATATTTTTCCATATTTCACAGGTTGTCATAGTTGGAAGGGACTTTCGAGTCCCTGAGAAAACTGAGGCCGAGAGAGTGCATCTGACTTGCTCGCGTATTTAATTAGCAACTAAGTGTTAGAACAGACATTTGTAATTCAACAATTTAAAGGAAAAAAAGGATTCGATTCCTACACTATTTTTCTATAATGGTTTTTAAACATCCCATTTTTTTAAGAGCGCTCTTTGTGTTTTTGTTGTTGTTGTTGGCTTTCCTATAGCTAGAAGAAGATATAAGCAAAAAAATGGACAAAGATGAAGAGGCTTTAAAGGCAGCTCAAGCAGAACTCAAGGAAGCCCGGCGTCAATGGCACCACCTGCAAGTGGAAATTGAATCTCTCCATGCTGTGGTGAGAACGCTCTCAAAAGCAATTGGCCCACTGAGTCACCAGATGTTCCTTGATGAAGGGAGGGAAAGGAAGAATGTCCATTACTTTACAGTGAGAGAATGAAAATCAAGGCCACTGGATTCTATTCCTGGTCCTAGTTCCACTATTCCACCCCCATCATGGCCGTGGCTGTTATCAGTTCACTCAAGGTTTAGTTCATGCCCATAAAAATGAAGTAATACTTGTTTATCACCCTGGGGTTCTCTAACTGTTGAAGTGGGAGAATAGGCTGTTTGTCGATATCCAAAGAATTAACAGTGGGAACTCTTATGCACGCCACTGGAGACTGCTAACAGAAAAATATTTGAGCACTTTCCTGAAGTGCCTTTTATAAGCAGTCTACTCTGGCTTTGATAGTCAATAGTCTATATTTTTAATATTTAAGAAATTTGATACATCAGAATGATAATGAGTTAATCACACCGCAGAGGATATTTTTGCCCCAGGAATTACAACTGAATTCCTGTGAAATAGTAAGCTCTCTAAAACAAACCCGTTGCCTTTGAGTCAATTCCGACTCTATGTATATAAAATAGAAATTTTTTTTCAATTTAGGCGCACAAAAAGCTTTAATACCTCTTGCATAAGCAAGGGACAATTATTACGGCCTCTTAAAAAAGATGAGAACCCAAGAGAGTGAAGAGAATGCAAATCCGATTTCAGACACATTTTTTTTCACTTACTCACTGATGAGTGTCTATATAACACAGGAAAGGGGCCTTGAAAACTCCCTACATGCCAGTCAGCAGCATTACCAGATGCAGCTGCAAGACCTAGAAGCTGTGATTGAAGGACTAGAAAAAGAGCTACAGGAAGTAAGGCGGGGCATTGAAAAGCAGCTTCAAGAGCATGAGACGCTTCTCAACACGAAGATGAGGCTAGAACAAGAAATAGCAACTTACCGGCGCCTCCTAGAAAAGGAAGAAATCAGGTACCTGGTTCTATATAGTTAATGACAAGCGGCCAGAAATACTGAGCCATTTAAATCACTGTTGATGCAGTCAGAGAAATTAAATCTTAAAAACCATCATCACCATGACGTACTCACTGAGTTCCTATAATAAAACAGGATTGGTATGCCCCGTAAAGGGTAAGAAAGAGCAAAGAACAATTTCTGGCCTTCCCAAGTTAGGAATGAAACTGCCAAAGTTGAGGGCATTAGCTACAACAAGGAGCACATCAAGCTAGAACAAAATACAAACAAGTCTCAATCACTACAAAAATGACCTTTCTCAATTTCTTACTTTCCTTGCCACTCATCTCTTTTGGGATTAGTCTGTGCTTTGTATGCATCACCTCAAAGAAAGTTTGGAAAATTCACGTATTATCACCACACAATCCCATACTCTACCCACCCCCACACACACACCCATATCAAACATCGAAATAATGATGATGATGATGATGTAGATAAAGATAAGAATATAAAAAGCAGATTATATTACAACAATGGAAAGCAATATTTTTCTGAGTACATGATTCAAAAGATTCCCAGATGTCCTGAGTAAGGAAAGGTATTAAAAGAGGAATTCTTTCTAATTAACAGTTTTATAATCTGCAGTTATTTATAAGCTCGTAAAGCTTTGAATATAGCACAGCCTCCCAGTCTCCAGGTTCCCATAAAAAGAAATCCTCATTCTTGCTTGCTTCAGAATTCTGAGTCCTCTACAGAACTAGAGGAAACAACTTCAGCCTATAATAAAACTCTTGACAGTTACTAATTCTTTGAAAACATACCACTTACTAGCTGAGTGACCTTGGGCAAGTTATTTAACCTGTGTCTCAGTTTTCTCAACTGCAAAATGGGAATAATAATACTACCTACCTCATAGAGGTAGGTGAGGATTAAATGAGTTAATGTTTGTGAAGTGCTGAAAGCGGTACTTGGCATGTGGTAGGTACTATATAAGTGTTAAACAAAATAAGTGGTTGCAAATTTTATTTAATTCCGAATCATTCAAGATGTTGACAAATTGACCCTTTAATATTTCTATAATACAATTTTTAGAATTTTATTGTGCTATATTTAAGATGTACTAGAAGGTATAAAGAAAAATATAACGAACACTCATGTATCTACTTTTCCCAGTTTGAGAAGTAAAGCATTTCCAATGTAGTTGAAGTCCCCCAGGCATCTAACCGCCCCACCGCATCTCATTCTCCCTTCCCCTAACCTGGCTCAGGAAGTGGATATTTACCAGTCTCATACTAAAATGTATGTATCCCTAAACAAAACGGAATTGTTTTGCATATTATTTTAACCTTTATAAAATGAGCTGCAGCTTACCTTTTTTGCACTCAATGTTATGCTGCAGGATTCATCCATAAAGATACAGTGTAGCCTTATTTCATTTATTTTCCCTCTCAGTAGTATTTCCATTGTATGAAAATGGCTAGAACATACTACCATTTATCCATTCTTCTGGTGGTGGACATTTAGGTTGTTTCGGCTATTTGCTATTACAGTGTTGCTCCTATAATTCTTTGCATTTTCAGATATTACGGTTCTATCCAAGGTGGGAAAAAAGACCAAAAACCTACCACAAGTAGAGTTGGTTTTGTTTTACCTTCAGGTGAGTTTCTGATGTAAGTAAACTAACTTGAAAACTTAAGTTACATTTACAGGAATTATAATGAAATTAAATACTCTAAAGTAGCAAAGGAGCCCTGGTGGCACCAATGGTTAAGCACTTGGCTGCTAACTGAAAGGTTATAGCCCACTCAGTGGCTTAGCGGGAGAAAGACCTGGTGATCTGCTGCCATAAAGATTACAGCCAAGAAAACCCTATGAGACAGTTCTGCTCTGCCACGCGGGGTGGCTATGAGTTGAAATTGACTCGAAGGCACCTAACAACAACAAAGAAGCAAAAACAACCACTATTTGAATAAAAAGTTTGCCACATAAATTAACTGTGAACACTACCTGAATATTGTAATTTAATAATTAATACATAACTTTTTGCAGCCATTATCAATGAAGTATCTTTTTCAACAAAAGTCTCACAAAAGTGTGAGACTGAAAACGTGGAAACCGTAACCAAACAGGCGATATTAAACGGAAATATTGTGAAGGAGAGCACTGAAGCTCATGGCACTATACAGTAAGTAAAATTCTGACTAAGAAATAATAATAAACATATGCAAATAAACTCATTTCAACTGAGTAATCCCAGGAATTAATCTTCTTTGTTTGAGTGTTTCTAAACATAAAGTTTTACTATATGGTGAATTTTAATCTGACATGACAGCCATTTTGTAAGATATATACGACTGTATATTAGATGGGAATATAAGCAAAAAATCAGATGAATTCACCATTTTTCCAAAAAATACAACTAAAACATGAGAATTCCATAGAAGTTCCGTAGAATTCCATAGAAATTCCACAGAAATTATATTCATGATTTTTAAGTATATAAATTATAAATTCCACAAACTACAAATTATACAGTTTCTTGATTTATTTTTCACAGATATGGCATACATTTTATATAAAGGCTTACTTTATCGTTTCAGGACAGAGAAAGTTGATGAAGTTATTAAAGAATGGGAAGGTTCCTTCTTTAAAGATAACCCTCGATTAAGGAAAAAATCTGTTTCTCTTCGATTTGATCTTCACTTAGCCGCCACCGATGAAGGGTGTTTACAGACTAAGCAGGATAATCTACCAGATATAGAAGTCAGGCTTATCATGAGAAGATCGTGCAGTATCCCCTCTATCAAACCTCCATCAGCAGCTAATTAACCCAAAGACAGTATCTGACATGATTTGAAAATGTCATTAGGATGGACCTAGGTGGGCCATGCTGGGCCCCTCCATTCCTAAATGTAAATTACTAAGTACGTATGGAAAAGGTTATAATCAATGTGTGATTCTCTTCAGGAAAAAAGCAAAATAGTAAGAGACAAAGTTTCTCTGAATCTAATTATGGATCTATTTTATGGGGAGGAGGAGGCTTAAAAATAAAATTAAGAATACAGTATGGTTTCTATTTTTATTCTGCAAATATTCTTTTTCTTTTTTCCTTGAAATTTTATTAGGGACTGTTGGCAGTAAACTGGCTTAGTTAAATCTTTGTAATTTCACTCAACAGCTGAATACTCTAAAGAAAAAGTAATTGTTTGTTTAAATATGAATTTATTATGAGAGTCATACTGAGTTAGTCATTATTCCACGACTGATTAAACCTAAAAAGTATTTTCTACTAAAAAAAAAAGGAGTTATTAAAAAAATTTTTTAAAGAGGACTCACTACTCACTTCACCAGGATTTTTTTGAGACAATCATTTGAACCCTTAGAAAAATGACTCCCCTAAAGAGTTATTTTCCTTGTGTAGTTCTAAGCAAGCTATAGAACATAGCCCAAGACTAATTTGATAATTAAATAATATTCAGTTAATCTACATCTGTAAATTGTCTATAATCATTATCTTTCTGATTTCCAGAAAGCTTACTTTAATCAAAGAACTTTAAATGTTGAACGCTCCCCTACTGACAAAAAAAAAAAAAAAAGATCAGCTGTACAAACAAAACATGAAAAAGCAAATTGAAGAGGCAGTTACTACATTACTCGGACAGAAAGTTACCCAACCTCTCACCATCCCCATTTTTCCACCTATAAAGTTAAATGTGTAATATGAGTGCTTGCTATGAGCCTTAGCTAAGATACTATATGCATATTGAAATATTTCTTTCCATCGGTCACGTGAACTAAGATCACAGTATTGCTGTCTAAGTTACAAACATCTGCAGGATTTTACCTTTTTAAATTGTTCAAATTGTAATAAATATGGATAGAAAATATATTTGTGAATAAGTGGAGTATTGCTGCAAAGTTTTTAAAACAATCTAATTTGTTTAACACAGGTATATTTATTTTAAGACCTTAAAAAATAAGCACTTGTTTTAAAACATTAGAATTTATAGGCTATTAATTTTTTTCTAAGCAGAAATAATGGTTGAGTACAACTCACCATAACTTTTTCCAGCAAAATTATCATCCAAGGGCTACAGCTATGTCGACATTTTAGTAGAGCCTTTACAGTATGTCTCTTTATTTTTTATTTCACCAGAAAAAAAAAAAAAAAGAAGAAGAAAATAATGTTAAATAATCTTTAGCATAATACAGGGACATAAAAAATTAATTTATTTTCAATTACTGCAGATTCCATTTAGCTTGGCTTATTCTATATTTAGTGAAAGAGGATGATTTTGTTTGATCAAGGATACATCAGCATGTTAAATGCTTATTCTTGCATAATCATCTGACCTAAACTATGTCCTATACATACAAGTGTTTTTATTCAACAGTGGTTAAATACTACTAACTTTATTAAAGCTTTAAAAAAGGCAATCATATAAGCTATTGTACTAAAGTTCCTGTACTAAGCAACAGTAATCATAATAAAGCAATATATCTAGTGTAATCTAATGCAGTGTTAAAAATTTAGTACTGGGCGTCATGAATGTAACTGCTTGTTATAGTAATTCTACTATGCAGCGATTGTGTGTATAACTTGTACATTTTAAATATTTGGATTTATAACAAAGTTTTATTTGCTTTGGAGCATTTTAAATTGGGGTATGAATTTACCAAAGTAAATGATAGCACTACAATAAAAAAAAATTGAAACATGAACTCTAAAGCTGCATTGTATTTGAGTTTGATACACAGTCCTTTTGACTGAAGGATATCTGTGCATGGTTAAGCAAAAGAATTAACTGCTTCAATATGATTAGCTCAGTGGGGGGAAGGGACAAACTTGCAACCACAGTAGATTTTTTACACTTTTTTGCAAAACAAAAATGAAGAATGGTATATTGATATTTTATTCTAATAAAAAATAAAAATAATCACATAATCCTGGGGAAAACATAATCGCAATAGCCACTATTTTCAAAGAGCCTACTCTGCTCTAGGCATAGCTCATCAGACTCCTACATAATCTCAATTCTTACAACAATCCTACAAAGTGCATAATTTTATCCTCATTTTAAAAATGAGTAGAAATTAATATTCTTTGAGCTCTCTGAGCTATTTTAAATGCTTCCATAACAAAGTAAAAAAATAAGGAGTTAATTCCAATTACAAATATTGTAGGATTGGAGCTGTGGCTCTGTCACTAATTAACCATGTAACCAGAGGGAATCACAAATTCCCCATGCTTCAGTTTTCACACTTGAAAACAAAGATGTTATGGATTGAATTATGTCCCCCAAAATATGTGTTATAAATCCTAACCCCTATACCTGTGTTTGTAATCCCACTTGGGAATAGGATTTTCTTCCTTATGTTAATGAGGCCCTATCAATATAGGGTGTATCTTAAGCCAATCACTTTTGAGACATAAAAAGAGTAGATGAGGCACAGAGAAGCAAAGACACATGGGGGAAGATGGATGCAACATGAAGATCACCAATGAATCAAGGAATAGAAGCTAAAAGAGGCAAAGATCTTCAGAGAGCCTTCCCCTAGAGCCAATGCCTTCTAGCCTCCTAAACTGTGAGGAAATAGATTTCTGTTCATGAAAGCCACCCACTTGTGGTATTTTTGTCATAGAGGCACTAAGAAACTAACAAAAGGAAAAGGTGATGCTTAATAACAATTCCTACCCTGCATACCTCACAGTTGTTTGAAAATATTTTGTAAAGCATATACATATGAAAGTATTTTGTAGAGCACCACTCAAATATACAGTACTGTTTGAATGGAAGTTGTCATTGAGAGTGAAGAATTTATAAGGACAATTACAGCTGACAATATAAGTGATAGGTCAAGACACAACAGGTAAAGATAGTTTTTTTATTCTTCAATCACTGCCAGAAAATTTTTTTCCCAGTGAGTTACCCAATTTGAGCTGTTCTTCCATGGTAGTTTTTAAAGTACAAAAATGTTCTCAAGTCAAAAATCCTTAAGTTAATTTGAAAGTTTCAAACGGAAATATATTATGGTATGTGGACCAAAATGAAACTTGAGCATAAATAATACACATATACACGTTACTCAAATTATCAACACATGAAATCAAAGGAAAGTTTGCGCACAGGGCAGAATTTGGCTCTATGTTTACAAGTTATGGCCAGCATATACACATAGATTGCCACTGTTCCTGGATATACTAAAAATAAATGTTCTGAAATAAGATATATGTGCAAATTAGTACAAGCTATTCTCAGCATCTCTCACATACTTAGACCTAGACTAGGGGTTTTCTGTAAATATTTTAGATTTTGCAGGCCATACCGTCCCTGTAGAGACTATACAGCTCTGCACTTAGCCAAAAACAGGCATAGACAATATGTAGACAAATAGGAGTGGCTGTGTCCTAATAAAACTTTATTTATAAAAACAGGAGGTAACCAGGATTTGGCCTCCAGCAGTAGTTTCCCAACACCAGCCCTAGTCCCTCAGTAGTCTGTGGATAACAGACCCACACCCCAGATTCTCGAGCACCATTCTGTTTTCAAACAATTTTCTCCCTTTTCCTTACCATGTGTTAAAACTCATGTCCCAAATCTTCAAGGAATTTTGGGGGCAAGGCAGAAGGTTGTAAAAGCAAATCATACTTTGTCAACTTCAACAAAACATTGTAAATCACTCTCTCCATGAAATCTGCTGGACTTCAATATTTCACAAGTATTTCTAATGATAAAAACTAAATATGTGTAATTCCTTCTGCTTTCACAAAAACAGCTGAGAAAATTAGCCTATATCACCATTTGCTATAACCAGACATTTTTATAGGCTATTTGGCTCAAGCAAAGCTATGTCCTCCCTTTACCTATTTTAAGGCAAGAAAAATCCATTAAAAAAGCATAGTTAGAACACATTACAAATTGCTCACTGGTTGGGTCATAATCTTTCTTCAGTCACAGACCTCTTAAAAAATCTGATGAAGCTACCAATTCTCTATCCAGAAAAATGCACACAAAAGTTATATACAATTTTAAAGGGTTCATTGACCTCCTGGAGCTTATCCATGGACTCCGACATGTCCAAAGACTGAAGGTATATTCTTGTTCTCTTCCATTTTCTCCTTTTTCTTCTTCCTTCCCTGTCACAGGACTCTCCCTACCCCTAATTCTCTCTCACCAGCTTCTTTCCATGGTGTATAGAAGGAACTCAAAGAGACCTGGACTTGAATCCCATCTTAATCACTTACTAGTTTTGGCTTTCTTGCCTTAGAGGAAGAAGAACCCCAAGAAAGTATGGGTAGAGCCAGAGGAGAATGTAGGCCAAGGCCCTGGATCTTGCTACCAGAAAGAAAAATAAACTACACTGGCATAAGACTATCTCTGGGCTTTACCACTAGGCCCAAGTGAGGGCTCTCAACAATCTTTATAGTTACATATAGTTTAAACAGTTGTCTTAGTTATCTAGCGATGACTTAAAAAACAGAAATTTATTCTTTCACAGTCTAGGAGGTTGGAAGTCCGAATTCGGGGCACCAGCTCCAGGGAAAAGCTTTCTCTCTCTGTTGGCTCTGGAGGAAGGTCTTTGTTATCAATTTTCCCCTGGTCTAGGAGCTTCTCAGCCCAGCGACCCTGGGTCCAAAGGACGCGCTCTGCTCCTGGTTTTTCTTGCTTGGTGGTAATGAGGTCCCTCTCCTCTCTGCTAGATTCTCTCTTTTATATCTCAAAAGAGATTGACTCAAGATACAACCTAATCCTGTAGATTGAGTCCTGTCTCATTAACATAACTGCCCCTAATCCTGCCTCATTGACATCACAGAGGTTAGGATTTACAACACATACGATAATCACATCACATCACAAAATGGTGGACAACCACACAACGGTGGGAATCATGGTCTAGCCAAGTTGACATACATTTTTGGGGGGACACAATTCAATCCATAACAATAGTCATATTAATGCTGCATC